CACTTCTATAGCAATGTAAGCAGTGGTGACAGTCCCTCCTGTAAGATACAGCTGAAGGCAGTGATAGCATTCATAGCTCCTGGTTTCCCTCAGCCAGGGTCTTCTTGGAGAAGGACTCTGCTCACAGAACTGTGCTGGCAAGGACTTCTGGAGGTCTGGCTTGCACCGAGGAAAATAGTGCTCTTGAATCTTGGAAAAATGATGCGTGGTAGTCACTAGTTAGAGCTGGGTCAAGATATAGACTCAGCCATCAAGTATGGACATCTAGGACATGTTTGAGGAGTCCTGAATGGTTGTGGGGAAGAGTTAGTGTAATAATACCTAACATGGAACATCTAGGTGTAAAAAGTGCACTTCTTTGAGAAGTCTCACAAGAATCATCAGTCCTTAGAAGCTCTGTTTTTTGTTTTATCTAGTGCCCTGTCATTGAACAAAGCATACATGGTTGTTCCCACTCCACTGGAGGATAGTCCTGTTTTTGTTGTTCTCCTTTGAACCTGTTTTGGTTGGCATCTACAGAATTTACTTTCCAGAGCAAAAAGTGGTAGGATGGGACATGATTAGTTGTGGTCTTCACCTCGTTTTCCTACAATACCCTGTAATGCAAATGGTGGCTTTGGAAGTCCATACAAGGATATCTCAGACTGATGCAACAGGCAAGTTGACTGATTCTTGGGGTTTAATGAGCAGAGTGAAGTTATCTCCTGGTTTGCATTGCTAGTTAGGTGTTCTGGTGGAGCCCCTGCGAGGTGCACTTCCCATATTAATCACGTCCTACCATAGTTGCATTTTCTGATGGAGGAGCCAAAGCCCTCTCCCTAGAGGTTGCCTCGATGTGGCAGTCGGTCAAACTTGTGAACCTTCAAAAGCAGACAGGTTACTCTAAGAACGTGGTGCTTGTGAGTGAGAATGAAAGGGAGCAGCAGCCTTTATTTTTTTGGAAAACAAACAAACAACAGAATATTTGAAGTATTTTGTTTTTAGGATTTTCTCGATTGTTCTTTTATGAGGATGTAAATATGACGTTCAGACAAACACTGGTGTCCTTCCATGACTCCTTGAAGTAAATGAGTTCAGACTGTACACTGCGTCACTGATGAAAAACACAAACCCTGTTGACCTGGAAGCTCTCCATTCCCCAGGTTCATTCTATACCTCTTCTAAAATTCTGTGAGAGCAGGGTGATAACAGCTGGGGAGAGATTTCAGAGATGGGTTGAACCAGTTAACCAGCTGGGCACTGATGCAAGGGACAGTGCGGCTTGATCCTTTCCTTCTCCTTCTGTCACTGAGCTCACCACACTTAGAGAAATCCATTCCCCCATGGTGGCTGAGTTACGCACTGTACTGAATTGGATCTGCTGCTTGGGGGGTTTGGCCAACACATGAGCTTGACCCCAGCAGGGGCCCAGTTAAGAAGAGAGGACAGACTGTGCCCTGCAGTGGTTCACAGCCTCCACCATAGCACTGCTGCCTCTCAGTAAATATATCTGCAACCTTTTGCTTAAAAGCAATGGAGAATTTGCAGGAAAACATAAAAGACTTTTTTTTTTTTTTTTTTTTTTTTTTTTTTTTTCTTTTCATTTCCTTAACTGGGCATCACAAAATTTGTTTCTGCATAGGAAAATAAAGAGGGGCCATTTTGGGACTTTTGCTGTGTTTTGGAGAGGTGAGTGTGGAGCACATTGAATATGGGACAGGAACAGCAGAGACAAAAAAGCCCTGCTTGCACTTGTGCCCATAATAAAGTTCCTGCTGTAGTAATCTGCTGCAGATATTGAGGTTTTACAGGTCCCTCACTGCACTTAGCTCACATAGTTGGGTTGTAATGAACAAGCTGAAGTGGAAAAACAGTCTTTTCCTTAAACCAAAAACACAGGCACAAAAAACACCCTTTGTTTTTTTAAAACAGACATTGCACTTGGGACCCTTTAATGGTAAATATTTAACAGGTGGAAGTCCTTACTCGTTTCTCTTTTCCCCTGTATTTCTTAATTAGCAGCAAGTCTTTTTTTTTTTTTCTTCTTTTTTTCTTCTTTTTTTTCAGTTGGCTATTAATCATCTGAGGCTCTCTTGGGTACTCTGCAGTGCTCTGTTCGCTGCTGTTTTCCTTCAGCTCATGTGACTTGGTCTTGCTGCCCTTGAGAAGGAGCAGTGGGCTCTGACTGCTGCTGTATTTTGCAGCCTATGCTGTGTTTATTTGGAGCCAGGCTTGCCCACTGTGGGTGGCTGAACTGTGCCCTGCTGATCAAGTGCTGGACTTGTTATTCATTGAGGGATGAGAAGAAGGAATGTGTTTCTCAGATGCTGGACTGTCACTTGCAGTGTAGGTGTACTGCTGCATGACTTTCTGTATGTTATTTTGGGCCAGACCTGCAGGTGTTTGTCAGTGCTTAGATGTCTAATTTGTGAGGGAAGCAGAAGACTGCTGTAAACCTGGAATGGAAAGCACTGGAGCTGGAGTTGAGGTCTGCAGGGCAGATACATGCAGGATTTTAAGGGCAAAGTGAAATTAACTGAAAAGTTGGCTTTTCGGGTTTTTGTCCCAAGTGCAAGAGCTTGAATGTCATCTGCATCCCACGCTGGGACATCCTGTATCCTGTTCTCACAGCCTGGAAGGGAAGGTGCTGAGCACATCAGTGCCGTGTCTGCTATACCACAAAAGAATATGCTTAAAATGAACATGTATCATTGGTTTATCAGCTCTTCCAACTCTTAAAGCCCATCTAGAAAAAGGTGGATATTTATATGGGCATAATGGAGCAAGTGATCTTCCTGCCCATAGCTGCTCCATAGCCTCAGGTCCTGCTGCTACCCAGAATTACAGAATTGATTGACAACCCCTCAGTGCAGGTTGAGGTTGGAAGGGACCACTTGGGATCATCTAGTCCTACCCCTGCTTCAGGCAGGTCCCAGCTGGCTTTGCAGGCAAATAATGACAAAAGGAAGAGCAGGAAAAGCATCATTTTTGTATTTTCTTCCTTTTGTTTCTTTGACTCATCTCCTGTTGAAAGTGTGTACAGTGAGTTAGAACAGAAGCCCTGCTCCTCCTGGCACAGAGATGACTAGTGATGGATTTTTATCAGTTGGCATGCACATGTTTTGTAAATAATTAGTTTAGAGAAAAAACAGCTCAAGGGTTTCAGGCGAATGTTCTTTTAGTGGAGAAATACTTTTTATAGGCATTTTAAGTGTTGTACAGTCATCAGAGTGGCTGAGATTTGCTATATGATGAGTGTGATGGGAGTTATTTGGGGGCAATAGCATCCTTTTCTAAGATTTTTTTATCAGCTCACAGTTTTGGTAAGCTCTGAAGGTTTGTGTCATTTAGGTGGGACATAACGTGGGGCTATTTTGTTAGCCCAACCCATCACTGGAATACCACAGAAGCAAGGAGACCGTGCAGGTTTCTGGTTTCAAGAACTAGAAGACTTGAGAGAAGACTTAAAATTGCTTTGCACTGATTTGAGTGACATATTTTGTAGTCTGCAGCCTAAATATAATGGGAAGACACCAGATTTCAGTGAGTTACATTGTCATCAGTCCTACTGGTGGCAACTGTGACTCGGGTTAGCCTGGGTTATGTTAATCCTGAGTCTTTACAAAGCCAAGAAGGCGATTCTGCTGTCTTCCTTAGTGAGGAAGAAGGTTTGATTGAAGGCAGGTTGCATACTGAATGTGATGTAAATAGATGTGAATGGAATGCTGTTTATAACAAGCATAGGTTTCTCCAAAGTTTTAAACAGGAAAAAAAAAAAAAAAAAAAAAAGATATATTCTGAACCTTTAATTATTCACTTGGTTATTCCTTCTATTTTTTATTTCTGACGATGTTTCGTCTGGTTGAAGATAGGACTTCATTGACACAATTAGCAAAGCAAAACAAATGATTATAACACCTTTTATTTAAGCCTTCCTATTTAATGTATTTGCTTGCACTTTCATTACTCATTTGCTTGGTTGCAGTACACAATGATATCACCTTTCTGCTCTGCTAGAGCTAAAACAAAGCAAAAAAAATCTTTTGGCTCTGAGCTGCTCTCTGCTGTTTTTATGACAGATGAACTAGAAAGCAATGTTGGGCAGGGAGTTATTTGAGTTTCCTTTCACTGCTTGCAAAGCATTATTTCCGGGCCTGGAAATTGACTGAGTTTGTGTGGTAGCTTTCCTATCTTAAAATAACAAACAAAAATCCAAGCACCTTGATTCCCAGCACTGTTAGTAATATCAGGTTTTAAAAGGAAAAACAAAGCAAAACAAATTTTGATGGCTTTATGCACATCAAATAACTAGAATCTTTATGACTAATTCCCTGGGCATTTGAAGCCACTTTGCTGAGAGGTTTTTATTTCATTTGAATGTGGAGGTGTACTTGAGTTGGTAGGAAGTGCAAACACAAGTTGTTCTACTGGAGAACTGAGTGCTTCCAAGGTGTCAGGGTTCGTATCCAGCTGATATGTGGGGCTGTTTCCTCCACTTCAACCCAAACTCCAGAGGTGCTTCGGATGGGCATTTCTCTCTGGAATTAGGAAGGCAGAAAGTCTGGCTCAGTTGCTTCCTTGCAGCTTTTTACTGCCTTCTCTTCCCTGTTGGAGAAAACACCTAATTAGGGTAAAAAAAAGTAAAAAAGGGGAAAGAAAACTGTCTCCTTTCCCCAGCCAAAAGAGTTTTGAAAAGATGTGTTGGTTAGGTGACCTTCGTTTTGGTTGTTGGTTTATAGTCTTCCTCATTTCACATCACTTGGGACCTGTGAGCCTCTGGAGATTGTGGTGCCATGGGGCCTATGCTCACTGTATTTAAATAAACCAGGCTAATAGGGAAACAAATGAGAAAAGGAGAAAAAAATAGTGGAAAAAAAAAATCAAACAAACCTAAAAACTTCCTTCTGTGCAAAAGTGAATCAAAAGAGTTTGCATGGGAATAAGAAGATGGGAAGAGCCTATGGTTTCTACTTCCTTGTGGTTGCTCTCGTATAATGGCTGTCCTTTTCCTCTCTCCAAAGGTCCCAGCCCTGTGCCTTCAATCATCTGGAGTAATGCTGGGAGGAGCTTTCAGTGTGATCCTTTCCATAGCTTCCAAGGATTTTTAGGATTATGGGATTTATGGACCTGCAAAATCCTCTGGAGAACATCAGCCACCCGCAAAACCATCTGGAAATTCCTGCCATCTTTTTGCCCTGTCTTTCCTGGGTCACTGAATGTTGGGAAGGAAGCATCTCTGCTCTGAGGATTACAGCAAATCAGTCACTTGCCGTCCTTACTGGAATACCTTCCCTTTCAGTTGCTTGGAACAGAGCAATTATTGCAGAAGGCAGAAGGATATTTTTTCCCTTTCACTGAGCTTTTGCAGTGCAGCAGTGGCCGTGTCTGGGTATGTAGATGGTTTCCTCATTCTCCACCCAATTTCTTTTCCTGATGTTTAGGAACTGAATCATTCTGTTTCCTTACTAGCCTCTGCTAAAGGTAAGGCCTTTCCATCTCTGTAGCATCATACTCTGAAGATGGCTTTTCCTCATTAGCAAAGGGGTGGGGATGCTCACATCAATGCCTAGTAATTCCTCCTGCACTGCCCCTGGCCACCCAGCAATTACTGCTGTACTTACAGCACCACGCAGACACTGGCTGTGTGTGAACCTGCTTATCAGGCTTTGCCATGTAATTTCAGAGGAGATAATATGAGTATTCAATCCATTTTTTCTCATCTTAATTTAACAGTGCTTCTATTGAAGAATGGCATCATTTAGAGGATGACATAAAAAAAGGAGATGGCTTTAAATTTTAACTTGAAAATTACTCGTATTCAGTGTAGACATAGATAACTCAGCAATTGCAGTGATAATTACTAATTTACATTTTTATAAAGATTTACAATGACTTAGATGTTTTTTGTAAAGGTGACTGAGCCTTTTTCTTTTCAATACTAGAACTGAATTGTTCTGTTGGTCTCTGGGGTGTCAGTTTGCTGTGAAAATCCCAGTTTTGACAGTTGCTCTGAAAGTGTTGGGGGATGAATCTATTAGTGTGCTGATGAACAGAATGCTTCTCTTAAAAAAAAAAAAAATAAAAATAGGGAATGGAGAAAAAAGTTAGCTCTTTGAATCTAGATTCCGGATTTATTTATTTTGACTATACAAGAAAGAACTGCTAAAGGGAAATTGCTGAAAATGCTATTCTGCATTCCCATCAGCATGTGTGAGGCATTAGAAGTTTCATCTTATTGCTTTGTAAGCACAATTTTACATCAGATTAAAGGAAGGAAATGGAGCCAGGGGAACAAAATCAGTTGACCGTCTCTTGAATTTGATGTGATACTTAAGCCAGATTGAGAAGATAGACAGAGACTGAGAATTAAAAGGTTCTTTGCTTTGACTAGCAGGAAAGTTGAGTGCTTGCTGTGCTTCTAACGGAGACTGTAGTTTAACTGTGGGGAGTGAAAGCATCGTACCAGGTCTGTGGAGTGGGTCGTGTGTATTGCTTAGGCTTGGTGGTCAATGGAAGGTTCTGTGTAGTGCCAGCTGCCTGTGGGGTTTGGGCAGAGACATGCCCGTGGGCTGGGATATCCAGTGTTTAACTTGACCTGCTCATTTGGCGTGTTGCAATCTAGCTCAAATGGCGTAGAAAATACGCTGAAGAGTACTTGTATTTCTTTTGTGTGGTGAAGCGCATCTTCTGAACTTCTGATGGCTGCATTCTCTGGTGGCTGAGACAGAGAAGAAAGGGAATTAGAAAATCTATTTCCTGTAGCTAGCTCCTCCAGTAACCTCATCTGTGCCACTGGTCAAGTCACTTAATAATTTTTTTTGTTTGTTTCATTCTGCCCTTGTAGGGTGATAACATTGTGTGTAGCAGTATGTAGGTAACTTTCAAGGCAAGGCCCTTCAAGGGTTGATCAGGAAAGTAGTTTAGCCCATTTCTATCCCTTCTGAATACAGAATGCAATTTTCCAAGCGTGGAAATTCCCAGTGTTTTATTAACTGCCTCCTAACAACTTCTAAGGCACCGAAGAAAGATGACTGGAAGTATGAGCTTTCTAACTACTATTTAAGCAAACATGGTTGATATCTAAAAAGCTCCTTTGTCAGCATTGTGCTATAACACCATGAGCTTTATCTTTTGTACATAAGTAGGAGCTTGGAGCCAAAAAGTCCTAATTAGAGCCACGAACACCTGCAGAAGACCTAGAGTGCATGTACAAGATATATTTATTGGTATCCTCCCAGCCTTATTGCTCAGCCTTTCAGGAACAGCATCTCTGTAATTTGATGTGAGGGAGTTCCCTGGGATTCCTCTTTGTTTAAAGAGCAAAGTAAGTATGATCACTGCTTGTATACTGGTTCCTTGGTCTTTCTTCAGTATAAGATAGGGTGCAGGCTTCAATTCTGGAGTACTTGTGCTCAAGCCTCCCCCCATAAAACAGGCTCTTGGTTGCTTTGCTGTTGTGATGCAGTTCCTTTAGTGCTTCTGCAAATGTTTCTTTGGAGATGGAACAAAACCTGTCCATCACTGGGTAATTTAGAGCAGCACCAATGCTGTACATTGCATGGTTCTTCATTGCCACTAGGATTGCAGACAAGCTGCAGTAGATGTACCCAAACTTTCTGTTCTGCTTTGCCCATTGCAAACTCAGTCCTGCCCATCCTGTCCCAGCTACGGATACCCTTCACACCTGGGAGCCTGGCACCATGCAGGTGACATGGACTGGCAAACCTGGGATGCAGCTGCAGCTCGATGCATCTCACTTGGCCTTGCTGCTTACTCTGTGTTGCATTGTTCTGGATCCATTCTACCTGTAGGTCTGTGGACAGATGCATGGTATTAAGTTAGATATTAGGAAAATGTGTTTTATTTCAGGTTGGATATTAGGAAAAGTTTATTTTCAGAAGGAGTGGTGAGGCGTTGGAACAGGCTGCCCAGGGAGGAATTGGAATACTGTCTCTGGAGGCTTTCAGGAAACGTGGAGGTGTGGTATGTAGGGACATGGTTTATTAGAATGGTGGGGTTGAGTATACAGTTGGACATGATTATCTTAATGGTCTTTTCCAACCTTTCTGATTCTGTGATCTTTAATTAAAAAAAGGTTTCAGCTGATTGTGAAAGTGATGTCTTTGGGCGTACAAGTGTTTGTATGATTCAAATGCACATAGCTGATTTGGAGATTGTAACAGCATTGTAAAAGTCACAGCAGTGCAAAGTCGGTATTATTGGTGGTTACATGCGAGTGAAAAAGCAGCCCTGGCACATTGCAGGGATGCTCCAGCCATGACTAAGCCCTCGCACTCACTGGAGAGGAATTTTTTGGTGCCCAGTACAGACAAACACTGATACAACAGATTTGCAGCAGTTTTCAAGTCTGTCTCCAGCTGGCAGAAAATAAAGGAATTGCAAGTATTTATTGGTTAAAGGAAAAAAAAGCTCAAAGCTATAAAATAAATTTGACAGTGTAGTTTTTCTTCTGAAATCTTAACTTTTTTTATGGTTCTCTGAGTTGACTTTGTGGAAGCCCAGCAAAGGAAGATGATTTAATCTGCAGATAATGTCTCTTGCTTCATGGTTTCCTGCTTCTAAAATTTACCCCCAGTTCTTTGGATTTGGGGCTTAAACTAGCTTTCGTTTTCAAATGGGATTTTTGAGGGTGGGTGTAGTAAATGCAAGTGCTTTTAGAAATTTATTATCTTGGGTGCCAAAAGCCTATCTAGCACTTTAAAAATATTTACAACTTAAAATTTGAAATCAGTTCTTCCTCCAGGATGCTGCTTGGATCACCAAGTACTGGTGATACTGATGTTGAAATTTTGCTTTGATCTTACCCTTCCTTGTCCTTGTTGCAAGGATTTCATAGGATTGTAGAGAAGGGTTTCAGTTGGAAGGGACCTCAAATGAAGATATAGCAGGGATGAATGCTGCTCACAGACCCTGCTGCTGCTGACCCTGGCGCTGCAGTTTGGAGAGCACTGACTTGAAATGCAGCAGTGAGAGCCAGCCTGAGCAAAGTTGATTAATCACAGACTTAAGTCACTGGGCAGGAGAACAGTCATTGGGTTATGCAAAATCGTAGTTTTGGTGGTCTTTCCCTCTTTTTTTTTTTTTTTTTTTTTTAAAGGTCTGGAATGATCCTATTAGTATGTGATGAATGGTCCTTTGTTTATTGTTTCAAGATGTTGCTCAGTGTTTTCCATTGACTAAACCGTCACAGTAGTTACTTTCAGGATATAGTTCTTCCTTAAAAGTGATTTTTGCTTTTGTGATGAATAACTGTTTGCAGTTCCTGACCTGCCATGCCTGTAAGTGCTGCCTGCTTGCAGACTCACTGTTCTGCTTCAAATTGTCCTCAGGAAGAAACAGTGGAATACCAGCAGATGCATTATGGCTAGAACCAGCAATTCAAGGATGACATCTTGGTTACTGAATCCCTTGTACTGCATTGCTGGGTTTTGCAGAGCCATAGGTGTTGACAGGCTCTTTTCTTGGGCTCCCATCTGCTGAACAGTTGATGGGGATTAATATTTAGGAGCTTGTTTTGAAATCTGCCTCATGCCACTAAAATGTAAAACCTCCAAAGCTGGCTGGCATCCTGAGGCATTGAGGGGCCCTTGAGGGGCTTTTCAGTAGAGGTGTTTGCAGTCACAGAGTCATAGAAAAGTTTGGGTTGGAGTTGGAATTGAATGGGCTTTAAGTTTCCTTCCCTCTGCCATGGGCTGGCAACCCCTCACCAGCTCAGGCTGCCCAGGGCCCCATCCAACCTGGCTTGAAATCCTCCAAGGATGAGGCGTCCACAGTTGCCTGTGCCACTGCCTCACTGCCCTGTGAGTAAAGAATTTACTCCTAACATTTAATCTAAATCTCCCCTCTCAGTTTAAAGCTGTTCCCCCCTTGTCCTCTCACTACCAGAAAAGTAAGACTTCCCCTTCTAGTCTCCTACTTACAACTTCCCTTCAAGGCACCTGAAGGCCACAGTGAAGTCTCCCAGGAGCCTTCTACAGACGGAACAAGCCCAGATCCCTCAGCCTTTCTTCATTCCATAGGAGAGATGGTTCCAGCCCTCTGATCGTCTTTGTGCCCTTCCATTGGACTCACTCCAACAGCTCCGTGCCTTTCTTGTTCTGCGGCCCCAGACCTGATGTGGGCACAGTACTCCAGGTGGGACCTCACAAGGACAGAAACGAGAGGGGAGAAAATTTTCACCTGCCGACGAGGATGGGATTCGAACCCACGCGTGCAGAGCACAATGGATTAGCAGTCCATCGCCTTAACCACTCGGCCACCTCGTCTGCCTTGTCTGTCTCCTTGTGTTTATTGCAAAAATGTAAATGTTGTGGCACGATGTGCTGGGTAGGAGTCACAGCTCTGGTGTTGCTCTCAGGCTGTGCTTTG